TATATTTCTCAACAACCACGCTCAGAGACTTGTGAAGGAAGACTCACTTTATTTTGTCCATTCTTCTCTCCATCCTCATCGTCGTCGTCATCATCATCATCATCCTCGTCATCATCATCTGTTGAAACGACAGGATATTTAGACGGAGCTAAAAAAAAACAACAACTTAATGCACCTTAAATAAAATTCAGTGCAGTCCCCTTCACCTTTTGTAACCACTGTCAAGAGTTAATGACTTCTTAAATCAAGAAACACCAAGTTTGTGCGACACCCATCCACACCAACAGTGCTCAGTATCCAGAGATCTACTGCCCTCTGCCTCCTCCTCCTCCTCTTCTTCTTGTTCAGCCTCTGCCTTGGATGCCCCATCCTCAGGTTTCGCTTCTCCGTTCTGCTCTTTAACAATGTCAACCTTTTTCTCTGTCACAGTTTCATTTCCAGGAGACCCATGTGAATGTTCTCCCACACCGTTGGTCTTCTCAACTCCATTCACGGCAGCCACCTGGACTGAGCTCTTTGCTTTCCCGTTCGCTGATTCATTCCCACGTTTGACCGGAGACTTTGCCGCACCATTTTCTCCTTTGACCGTAGCATCAGCTGCCTCAGTCTTTTCCTTCTCAGCCATTGCATCATAGACCTGCTTTCGTAGGTCATCTCTAGTTTTGTCTGAACCACAGCATCACATAAGAATATATTTTTTTAGATAAAGAAAAATATATGTACATTAAGTTTCCCAAACAGGGACACTAACTTCATTGTTAAGACATTTGTATTCCAATGTTGTATTGATGTGTCAATATAAAGTTATAAAGTAAGTTACACCGTAAAACTCTAGAAATCATTAATGCAGGCAGCCATGTACTTGAGACCTGTGTTTTGACCTGGTTCTTACAATACAGCCGAGAGCGCTCTGCAATAAACCTGTGATTTTGAGCAACAGGGAATCTGTTTTCATGGTAGAACACAATCACATGACAGAAGTCATCAAGTTAGATCTTGTACAAAAAAATAAAAAATAAACACCCCAGGCTGCCTAATCAGTTATCGCTGTATGAAATACATAGAAAATGTTCCTAATACTTACCATCTAGATTGCTGGCACTCTCAATGTTTGAGTTGTTGGGCTGCTCCTCTTCCTCCGACTCTTCTGGGACTCCCTCCAGGGCATTGCCAAGGACGCTGTTCTCCATCCTGACCAAACCCCAAAAAAGACCTGATTATCAAAAGAGTTACTGCTGACAGGGGAAGATCAAGTGTCAAGTCCACTAAGTTTCAATCTGAGCCCAGTTGAATTATCCAGGGAGCTTTTTACAATATCTAGCAGAGACAAAAGTGAAAGAAAATACAAAACAAAGCATCAACGTTGTCAGTCTGAGTGAAACCATCCTGCAAACAGTATGAGGACATTTTAATGTCAAGGAATTTGACTAACCAACCTGGCAAGTTCCAGCAGGGACTTCCCACAAAGGAAGAAGGCCTCGCCACACTCATCTGCAGTGTCTCCGTACTTTGCAGCTCTGACAGAAAGACAACACACAAGCGTTTAGTGGAGCAGGGGGTGTTGGGGTTAAAGTAGCAACAGCCTAATATTGAAATGAGCTCAAATTAAACCTCAGCTATTTTCTACACATCTGTGTGATTTTGATTATCAGCTCTGGATTTCTTCCGAGGAGTCAGTGGCTCCTCTTCACCGTTGTGTACTCACAGCATACTGCAGGCGTCCTGGAAAACACTGACAGCAGAAACAACATCTCCCATCACCAGATGTCTGTTCCCTGTGCCGATCAGCTTCTTTGCCTCTTCCATGACGTCGACAGAGCTAAAGGGGGAAACAAATAAAAAAAAGTTGATTCAAACTTTACCATCACCCATTGAAAAGGTCAAATTTTACACATAAGGAACCTCTAAAGTTGATGATATTATGATAGAGAGATTTTAATTGAGGGGAAAACAAAAGAATAAAACTCATCCACCATTCTCACCATAATGGTTTTAAAGAATTATGCAAAAACCGGAATTTGATCAATTTAGAAGATTTTATTTATTAAATTTACTCCAGCCATTACTCTTATTGTGTTTACTGACAAAGACTGGACTGAAATACAGTTTCTCTCTGATCCCCTGTGCAAACATACAAGTTTGCAAAAGAGAGAAACTTTTAGGAAAGTAAACAGACGCGTGCACTGATCCTCACCTGTCTGCAGCTGCAGCTGACGAAGAGGAGCACGGCTTCTCGTCCACGCTGCAAAAGTTCAAACTGAAGTTGAGTCAACAGCAAAGAGAAAAAATAAAAAACAGAAAAAGATCCCACGAACATTCACCAGACTCTGAACACGTTGAACCGCAGCTGTCTGAGCTCAGTTTAACTCTTCACTCACTGAGTTCCCGAGCTGTTAGCTAAGCTGCACTGTTGTTAGCGCCGTGTAGCGTTAGCCACCTAGCTGGAGGTTAGCTGTGCTTGTTAGCAGAGACAACACGGTGCGGGTTTAACGTTGCTACGCGGTCACAGTGACCGAGAGCCCGTTAGCACGACCCGAACGCCCCGTCACAAACAAGAAACACGCTAGGAGTGCTAGCACACATGCTAAGCTACAGAGCTAGCGAGCCGCACGTAAACAGGGAGCACAGGGGGGGAAACAGGACGAGCGGCGGTTTACCTCGCGGAGCTGGACGCGGTGGTTTCCTCCGGCATCTTCTCAGGACGACAGTAGAGACGGAGGCGGCAGGAGAACAGGAGCTGAGGAGGAGGCTCAGATGCTAAGTGATGGTCTTTGTTGGCGCGCTTAAATACAGGAAATGAAGGCTTTCTGTTTCCGCCTTGCCCGGAACGCGGGAGATTGGATTTAAAGGGGCCGCAGCACCGAGGTGAAAAGGTTAAACTCCAATTATCTTTATTTTGAAATGATGGAAATGAAGTCAAGAGAGGTTAAACATGGAGGTTCGCATTCAGCTGGGGTCCTGCACACATTGTGGGTAATGAGAGAGTGGATACATTAACCAAGCAACAGGAACTTTCCCAACCAGAGGGAAAAAGGGTTTTGCATGGAAGGAAATCCATAAATATCATATTTATTATCATCTGCATTCAAAACAGATGTTGGAGGAAAACAGAAGAGGAAACAGATCGACTCAGATCAAGCCTGGATCGTGAACTGGTATTTCCAATTTACGCTGCTCCATCTACTCTGATACATGAGAACTATTGTATTTCACCAGTGGATGTTAGGGACATAACTTCTGTTGTGCACCTCAGTTGTGAGACTAAAAGGAAATGTGACTGGCTACTATATATATCGCAGTACTATGAAAGCCATGTTGAACCAGGAAGCCTCTTGCTTGGGGGCCACAGTGCTGGATTGATAACAATTACCCAAGAAGTCCAGCAGGTGACGTCCATGTTGCAAACTTTCTGTCCCACAGATTCTTCTTCACTCAGAACAGCAGGTCGAGTTTAATTGAGCTAATTTGCAGGAACAGCTGCTTTAAAATGAGAGATCTACAACTGCAGTTAAAAATAAACACGTTCACATAACTTCGTGTAAATTAGGCGTGAGAGCTGCAAACTGTCTTTTTTTCTTTTAGCTCATGATTGTTCTGACAGATATGCATTTATTGTATTTAGGAAAACCGAAAGTACTTTGCATGCATGGTGTGAATGTCAATTGAAGTGAAGTGGGTGAGAAAGAGAGGGGGAGAGAGAGAGACGAGGGGGAGGGGGGTGCTACTGCTCCCTCACTCCACGGGCTGCAGATGAAGTTCGCAGTCAGTCTGCACGGTGCACCGGGACTTTACATGAATTCACACTGAACCTCCGCACTGTCCATCTCCTCTCTGACATGTCGCCATGTTCCGTGCAGCCTCACAACCCGCAGACTTGCTCCGGGTGATTCTACTGATTCTGCTGCTTGCACCGGAGAGCGGCTGCGGAGGAGCCGGGGCGGACAGCTGTCATGAGGTGAAGACAGCCTACATGATGAGACAGATAGGCCCCGTGGAGCTGGTGCCGGACTCACCGGGAACAGGTCGGTGCCTCTGGAGAAATGAGACAGTTGTAGAAAATGTTGAGTTGGAAAATAAGTTGTTTAATGTTGAAGGAGAGTCAAGAAAATAAAATAGAAATTAAATCTTAAGGAATTGTTGGTGTCTGTACTTCAACATGATATTTAGATAATATAAGATCATCTTTTATTAGTCCCAATATGTGCAATGTTACAGCAGCAAGGACAGTGAGAAACTGACGAGTATAGTAAGAAGCAACATAAGTGTAAGGAAATATAAGAAATATAGGAAAATGTCAACA